TGGGGCTTTGAGCAACTTGGTGTAGTGGAAGGTGTCCCTGTCTATGGCAGAGAGTTGGAATGAGGTGATCTTTAAGGTCCCTTTTAAACCAAAACATTCTATGATGATTCTATGATGTTAAATAGCGTAAAATCACATTAATGAACAAACCCATAGATCTGCCTGAGGGCAGTGTGACCAGCTTCTCTGCAGGGTGTCATTTTAAAGAGTGATGCCAGCTCCCATCCTGGCTCCTGTCCTTCTCTGCTGGTTTGTAGCCTCTGGCTCAGCACAGCCTTGCCCTAGGCACAGATGCCTCTGCAGCACATCATTATAGACACTGCTGGGAATGGAAGGTACTGGGGGCCAGGAAAATAAGGTCCAGGAAATGGTGCAGCATCCTCACCTCTCCAATTCCTCTGCACACATTAGACTGGAAGGGCTGGGATTTGGCTTAAAGCTCACAGAATGTGTCTCCAGGGGAAATTAAAGAAGCAAATTAACAGCAGCACCTTTTATTTTCATAGAGCACTTAAAAGCACCAGATGCATATAATCTTTATTTTTGGCTCTCTAAACTTAGGCTTTCACATTAAATGGCAACTGGCACTTGGAAAACTCATATTTAGTGCTCTGCAGAGGGAGAAAAGTGTGGGCCAGATGCACTGAGTTTATTTTCTTTAGGTCAGCTTGCACAGCTTTGCTGACACCTATTAATACAGATTTTTAGAACTGCACAGAAAACCAAGCAAACACCACTGACCTTGTTGTCCAGCTATGTTTGAACAGCAGTGGATAGAGCAGGATGGAGCCAGGATGGGGCTTTGCACGGCTGCTGCTGCAGCTGGGTTTGCACCCACAGCCTGGTGGGAGCTGTCACTGCAGAAGGAGCATTTGCTGGGACACTGCAAGCCAAGAGAAGCTGCCTTGATTTGTAGCTGACAGGGTACTTAGGGTTTCATTTTCCTTAAAACACCCCTTGAAAATAAAGTCATAGAGTCAGAGAACCACGGAGTGGTTTGGGCTGGAAAGGACCTTGAAGACCACCAAGTTCTAATCCCCCTGCCACGGGCAAGGAAGTCACGATTGTAGGTTTGAAATGGCAAACACGTTGCTGGTCTGCTTGCTCCTCCTGCGTGGCTTTGGCATCACTCTTTGAATCATAGAATATGATAGGTACTAAACACCATTCCTTGGGGAAGGGCTTTGTATCTCATTCCCTCAAAGTGTTCTGGGAATGGTATTCTGTATGGAGAGAGAAAAAAATGCAGCAGGTGCTGCCTTCCCAAACAGTCATCGTTCTGGCTGAACAATTTTAACTGTTGATATGAAATCTTCATTTCAGTAGACTCTCAGCTAAATGTCAAACTGCAGCCATTCTTCCTGTAACTGTGCCTTTGAAAGCATCGTTATTAATATTACTGGTATTATATTATATGACTTTCATAGTGTGAACAGTTGAACAGTTCATTTCTCCATCTAAGTTAAGAAAGAAAATGTCTTTTTTTAACTTAACAAAATTCCTTCTTGCTAAATATTAAGAAACAAAGAATAACTTGAGGCACACATGGGACAAATATTTTATTAGTGCCCTGAACACCAAAACACAATGTGACAGCAGACATGGGTCAATGCTTTTTTTGTTCCCTGGGATAAAACTGCTCCTAACAGGGCTGCAGAGGGTGCACACAACTCGGAAAATGCTTCCCATTGCTTGAGGAAAGCAAGGGATAAGAAGAACAGCTGCTGGCAAGAAAACCAGCTAAAGAGCAAGGTATTCTATAATGGTAGGGTTCTATAGGCACACTGCAAATGATGCTGCCCATCGCCACGTGCCGCACTCTGAGACAACTATTTCCAATCTGTCAAGAGCTGCGTTTCCTGTATACCCGTGGCAGCGCTTCATTTGTCATCCGTACTCTAATTAACACAGGGATAGGGCTCGGTGTCCGAATGCTCCCAGGGTTCTGGTGGCCGTGCCAGGTGTGTCCTGGGCGACAGGCGGTGGGGACCATGCAGGGAGTGACAGCGGAGATGTCGGGCAGGGTCGGAGCTGCCCCTCTGCCTCCAGAGGCAGCTGCCGCCGCACGAGGTTACAGTTCTGCCTTCTCCTTCGTCAGGCAGCAAACCCTCCCCCCTGACGCCACGTCGCAGTCCCGGGGGTGGAACGGCAGCGACCGCCAGGAAAGTGGCTGGAGAAGAAGGTGGGAGCACATCCCAGGCTCCCAGTGGCATCACTCCACGGGGGCCCAAAGCCCCGAGGGACAGGGACCACTCCACGTAAGTACGGCCTGCGAGCGAGTGCCAGCGGAGCAGATTCCATCGAGCCCCTCGGAGGGATCCCTCCTCCGCTGCCGTTCAGCGACAGACGTAATCCCGTGCTATTAAGCCCAAGATCCCACTGCAAACAGTTTACAGCTGAAGGCACGCTCGCCTTGTTTTCTGGCTTCACAGGGAAGGTTTAAAGGGTTTTACGGCGAGTTTAAAGCAGGTTTCACTCTGCTCTCGCCCGCACAAACCCGGGGTGGATCAAGTAACCGCAGCGGTAACACAGTGTCTGCTTTCAAAACTTCTCAGTCTTCTCAGGGAGCTACGTATAAATTTGATAATTACTGAAAAGAACATGCCCAAGTGAATATTATTATCCAAAAGTTTCTATCAGCCTAATTCGGAAACAATCCTTTCCTTCCTTTACTTGACTCATTTTTTAAAGTTAACTGGCTGCAATTCAAAGAGCAAAACACAGAATCAAATAAATGGGGCAAATTCAAACAGCCAAAAGCGTAATGAAAGAAGCGAGACAAATTCCTTGAACTGCAGCTAACATGAAAATGAATCTCAGCTGTTCATTAGAGACTGCTGAGCAGGGGACATCAGCAAATTAAATCATGAGAAGTAGGAGGAGGCATAGAAAAAAAGGTTTATTATCTAAATCTCCTCTTATTAACTGCAAAATATTTTTTCAAGATTGAACATAGTAAAATATATTAGTGGCAAATGGCAAAGCCTCTTTGCAGCTAAAATAAAAAGTGAGTAGTTGGGCAGAGCAGAAGAATGAGTAAACGAGGAATACACCACTGTGCTTTCAGGGTGGGTTAATAGTGAGCAGTTCTCACCTGAGATACATCCAGGAGTTTTCTTCCTTACTCTTTCTGGCAAAATTCATACTTCATTTTCCCAGGTTAATTCAGAGGTTGCTGGGAGTTCAAGCGCTGCTCATCTGGGTCAAGGAGGGGTTGTTGGTCAGAGACTGACAGGTTTTAAAGCTCTCCCATCTACTCGTTATCAGGCTTTTCTCATCATTGTTCTTTAACATGCTCTGTTTTGCTGGTTTTCGCCTTGAAAGCATCCTTGCTGTCTGAGAAAGTGGGGAACAGGGAGTGTGCCAAAGCTGGTCTGCCTTGGAGACAATATGGGTGGAAGATCACACCTTGAGTCCTGTTCCAGAGGTCTTCAGGAGAGCCCCAAGGACACAATTATCAGACACTGTTAATTGATTTCATGGCTCTGGTAGCAGCATGTGCTGGAGGAGCATTGTCACCAACCTTCACCATGGTCCTTCCTGCAGGAACCTTTGGGATATGTGGAGATGTGGCTCATGGGCTACAAAACCAAAACACGTCATGACTTGGATATTACCTTTGTCATGAGCAGCGAAGGAAAATGGGCAAAGCCAAGCAACTTATGTTGTCATTGGAAAGGGGGGAGGAGAGGAAGAGAGAACTGCAGCTGCTCAGCATGATGGCTGTCCCTAGAAATTGTCCTTCAATGAGGAAAGAGAAAGTGATGGCCAAAAAACATGGAAATATCAGGAAGAAATAATCCCAAGCCCATCTTTCTGCTGGTGTATAGGGGAGAAGGAGTTGGCAGCATTGTGTATGACATCCTCATAAACAAGTGAGGAAGATGTGGCCTTGATGAGACAGATATTGGGTGGGTAGAGAACTGCATTGTTAGGAAATGTGTGAGAAGTTCACTGCCAGAAGGGGAGGTAATGGCAAGTATGAACCAGAGCTTGCTACTCACTTGTGTTTCTGTTCACAATTTGGAGGAGGGACAAGACTGTTGTTTGATGTGCAGCTGGGAGGGACTTGAGCACAACAGAGGCCAGAACTATAATTCAAAGGGCCAGAGAAGTAGTCTGGGAAAAGCCCATGGTTTGTATTCCAGTGGTCATGCTGGTGAGAGAAGGCAAGGGGTCTCAGTAAGGTCAGGGAAGCCATCCTGGCTGTGCCAGGAGCCAGGGAATGTCAGCAGGTGGGAGGCTTGGCTGGAGACAGTCCAAAGAGAACAATAAAAATAATGAGAAGTGGCTGGGATGTAACCTCTGCAGGAAAGGCAGAGTAAAATGGTAAGGGACACTTACCCAAGGGACCCATGAGGAGGAAGAGGGTTCTCTTTCTCCTTGCCAGTTAGGACAAGACGTGATGGACTTAAACTGCAGTTTAAGAGAGGATGAAGGCATCTTTGTGCACTTGTCAAGCTACAGCCTGACATTTCCTGGTAGCACACTCTGCCTCCCTTACTCCTGACTCTCTCTGTAAGCCGGGTTTAGCACAGCATCCATTCCTGTAACTCATGTGGCTTTGGTGAATTAACTACTTAGCCCATGGGAATTGTACCATTATCTTCAGAGGAAGTAGAGAAATAAAGTGCATTTATAAGGTTTTTATTGTTTTCACCCCACTATCAGCATTCCCTTTAAGAGCATCAAAAGACTGAAAATACAGATAGAGACATCTGCCAGCATCTCTGGAGATGGGTGTTGCACTTTCTTCTAATCCAGACCCAGCCTTTGGAGCCTCTCCATGCCTTCACAAAACAGGGGAAAATTTCTTTTATTTAAGAACCATCTGAAGACCCTTTTACCGGGTTTTAACAGGGTGAGTCCTGTGTCAGCACAGTTAAAAAATGCTGGCGCTTCCTCTGCACAGATTAAAGATGATGTATTACCCTTTGCTGCTTGGACCTGATTTACAGCTTGTGTTGCAAAATTGCGTAACACTTCAAAGGAGCAGTGGCAGGGCCAAGGATGCGGAGCAAAGTCCAGGCACATGCTGACTTTGCCCCTCCAGCATTTTTTATTCCTTCTCTAGGTCTGAAAGGAGATCTGTCCCCTCCGTCTTGCACCCTTCTGACCCCCAGCATGGCGTTGCCCATGAGGAGTTTGCTCACCAACCCTGACAGATACCTCCGGTCGTTCCGCCTGTTCCTGGAGAAGTCGACAGAGCATCAGAGCATGCGGGAGTTCATGGAGAGGCAGCTGCCGGATGTGATAGCGAGGTAACACCGAGGTGGCCACACTGAGCTGAGGGCCAGCCTGGGGTACAGTCCCATGACGGTGATGGGCTTGGCTGGGCTCAGGGGGCTGCCTGCAAGAGGCAGATTGCTTCTCCCTGACAGCTGCCCCATCTGTAGGTCTCTGATAGGGCTTGGCTGGAGATTCCATTTGTACACACGGCTGGATGGCAGCTCTCGGGGACGGAGCCTGCCTAGCAGGGAGGAGATAAGGCTGCATTGTTTCCTCGCACACAAATACAGCTTACCCCGAATCAGCTCTGAAACACAGTAACAGATACTACATCCTAACATTAAATTTGATTGAAAGTAGCTTTTTAAAAGTAATCTTTTCAGGTAATATTCAGAGTCTCTCTGGTATGGCTGAACAATTCTCCTGCTTTGCCTGCCAGTGTCCTTTGCTGGACCCCTGGCTTTGCAGGCTGGCTCAGGAGGTGGCAGCCAGCTTCGAATCCTGGCTCTGGGGAGGCTCTCTTCAGGGCTCAAGGTTTCATGGCTCTGCCAAAGCCTCCCTCAGGGATTTTAAGAACATTGTACTCTCCTCTCTTCCTCCCCATTTTGCAAAATGTAAAACTTCTACAAATGGTTTTTAAGCTGCTGGTCGAGACCCAGGGAAGGCTCTGTTCCTCAGAGCACAGACAGAGAAGGCGTGTACCTGCTTATGTGTGCACTCATAATAAAAGCCTCTACAAATCGCCAAAATAGTGGGAAATGGTAAATCTCCAAAGAGCAGAGTTCTGCCCGCTCACAGGCATGCCTGTACATGCACAGATTGCATTGTGGTTTTGTCCTGTAAAATTTAGTCTTCATGGGATCTCCAGTGCTTAACATCTTGCATTTAGCCCTCTCTACTGGGAACTCTACTAAAATGCATAAATAATGTTTTTCAGTATTGGAAATGGGAAGTCTACAATCAATGTTCTCAGCATTGGTGGTGGAGCAGGTATGCTACAGACTTCAATACTGATGTGTTTTTATTATTTTTTTTCCAAAGATTAGAGGATTAAAAATTGCAAGGAGTAGAGTGGGAAATAAGTCTTTCGTTGAAAAGTCAGCTCCAAGGGACAAATGGTGTTAGTTGGTGTGCAACCATATCATCTGAAAACAGCTTGTGCCTCCCCACCCTGATTCTTTTATGTCCTCCACAAAACATCTCCTTTTGGACCATCACTCCTGAAGGGCAGAGAGAAGCTTGAATTGCCCCCTTAGTGTTTCTCCACACACGCACCAAAAAAAAGTGCTAGAATGTCTTAGGTTTCTCAGAATATTAAATTTTTACTTGCATTGTAACTATTTATTGAGGTGATAACTCCCCATCATTGCTGTGTGACAGTCATGGCTGAGCTCTGCTTTGCCTGTATGTATTTGCCGACCACAGTCAATGCAGAAACACCTCCTGGATCTGCTGTCCCCCAAAACACTGGAGCTGAACATAAGCTCCAGAAGAAATCCAATAGAAATCAGAAGAAATAAGTATTTTATCTCAAGTTCACTGGGTGGAAAAACAATACCAGTAAGATCAAGTGGTTTCTTCTTGTTGAATTCTTGCTTGAGTTCCCCCATAATTAAAACCTAAATTTTCTACTCTGCCAATTAAGTCACCACACTTAAATGTTATATGAAGAGTTAATTTAGCTTAAGTGCTCTAGTCATACCATTGCCAAAGACTAATCTCAGTTTTGTCAATCTCTCCTCCATACAATAATTGTACATAAATGGTGGGCATTAGTTATAAAACAGACAGTGTGATAGGGCAGGAACATTGCTCTCCAAAAGAAGGAAACCACTCTTCTGCCAAAAAAAATAATATTTTAATGGGAACACTTTACTCAGTGAGGTACTTCACTCCCTGACCAGGGACAGTCCAGCTTGGCATGATGGACATTCGATAATCAATAATATGCAGGCAAAACTCACTTTGTGATGTAAAATTCCCCAAATCACCAAAACCCATCTGCTCGCTGGCTTGTTCCCATCACAGGTTCTTGTGAGGTCAGGAGGGAGCTGACTCCCAGATCCCTGCAGCCAACCCTGCCCGATGCCGGAGGGTGGTGATGGAGCTGCTGCCCCGGCCCCATCTGCCCTGCAATTCACGGGGATAGAACATGGAAGGAAACCATTTCCTTTCCACTTTTCCCCCTCTAGAGACAAGGAAACCATTTAATGCAGGATCATATCCCATTACACCCACCCGTACATGGCACCTGCCTTCGCCCACAGCCGCTACTTTATTAAGTTCACACTCCAGCGCGTCGCACTCTGTACCTTTAAAAACCATAAAAGCCATCAGCACTGCTATAAAGTAGCAACTTGCCATAAACTATCCCGTTACGTAAAATGTTTAATTAGAAACTTAATGGTGAACATAGTGGTAGCCTTTAAAAGGTAATTGTGTTGGAGAGTTTAAATAATTCCGATAGCCTAATTGCCAAATTGTTGATAATGCAAGCTGCCACAGATCTGACTGTAAAATGCCTCAGGACACTTGTTTGCATATAAAACAGCTGACTGAAGTCAGTTAAGGCTGTGGATTAAATTATGAATCAAAGGGGTGGTTTTTTTGGTTAAAGACAGTACAAGGGTGGTTTGGCACGGAAGAGTGGAAAGGAATATACTAACCTATCTGCATATGGAAATACAAAATTCAGATTTTGGGGGGTTTTATCAGGTCCTGCACAGCCTTTTCAAAGGGCTAAATCATTTTGCAGAAAGTTGGTAAAACAACCAAAAATCAAGCTACTGCAGTAGTTTGTTGCTAATTGTTCTCAAACTTCATCATGGCAGCCTGCAGACAACTGGCTCTGCTCTGATTTTTCCACAGAATGCAGGGTTTACAGCGATAGCAAAGCTGCAGTTATTTCTGCTGCTTCAGAAATTCAATTTCCCTCCCTCAAAGAACGTGCTTCCACTGATGCCATGTAAATGTTGGTATTACTGGTTGCTTTGAGAAAGACATGTGAGTCCGAAAAAATGAAACTCTTCCTCACTTTATATATTATGTCCTCTGGGCACTAATGAGCAATTTAATGCTGAATATTTTCCTTCTGTACCTCAAATATTTTGTATAATGGAGCTATTGCTGACGTGGTGAGAGTTCAGGGGCACTGAAAATCATGAGGGTGGGCAGAGACTGTGCTGGCTCTCCCTCCACAGCCCCTCAGCAAGGGCCTGTCTGGCCATCAGGGCTTGCTGGGTGATCTTCCATTCAGAACATAACTTTGTGTATTTGCAGGGAATTTTGTAACATGGAGTTGTGTGCAAGCACAAACACATCTTTCAGGACAATACATTTGCCTGTAACGTGACCCTTGGCTCTATTATTCACTGTAGTTACCCTCTGTTTCACTCTTTTGACCTTAATTTATTCCTCTATTATTTTTTCCACCTAAAATCTATCCAAGCACAATAAGCAGAAGTGAGCTTGAAGAAAGCTAAGCAAGCCAGCGGGATATTGTCCCTGGACCCGTGCCTCAGTCAGGAATATCATCTCCCTGAGTCTGCTATACACAGAAGGGGTGAGATGCCAAGACATATGGCAGCTATTTTTAAATTTTGAAATGTTGGATCTACTGGTGCATCCATCAATCAAATAATTATAGCTGGCACGAACAGTGTTTAGAGAGAACTATCCCTCACACACAAAAAAAGAAAGTACAGTCATCTCCGAGGTATTCTGTAAACAGGGTTTGGATAAACATGTGCTCTATTCATCATTCTTTTGGGAAAAGTCACGGGACACTAAAGACAAACAGACATGAATATTGTCTCTGATACCAGTGCAAACACATATTTTCTTTGCCCTCCCCCACATGACCTTGTAAACCAGTGAGGCACTTGGCTAAAAATGCTCTTACTGACTCCTAAGGAATCCTGCCAGGTTTACTGGTGACTTGGGACCATCAGAACTGGCACTGTCAGAGTCATTTAGGATATCTCTCAAGAGGTTGGACCATGCCCAGAAAATATGAGGTCAAGCCACAGGCATGACTGTGGCTGATTTTCCCTTGGCAGTCAGAGAGGAGAGATGAAGATAGTTGGAATGGATATTTAGATTTTTCTGAAATCCTAGAGCTCAATCTCCAGTGGCAACCTACTGAAAATACAAAACAGCTGCACGTACCCGTGTGGTACGTCTTCTGTACAAAAACAGCAGGCACCAGTCTTCAAAACTGGGGATGTGATGGTGGTAGAGTTCACATTTGCCTGAGCTCTGCTTTCATTTTGTATTTCATGTCTCCTGCCTCCCTAGGTGAGATGGACCTGCTGATCCTCTCAAAAGTACAAGCCAGATATCCTGGAGTCGCCATCAACAATGAGGTGATAGAGCCAAGTGCTGACCAAATCTCCAAGTACAAAGGTATTTTTACTTTAAATAAATTAAATTTACATTAAGTACGCTAAATGCATTAAAAAGTGTTGAAAGCTGGATGGCCTTACATTCAAATGTTTTCTTGTCAGAAATGTCTCATAAAAGTTAAAAAATTCACTATTTTATGCTTTTTTTGCCATCATTGCTTCTCAACAATGTTCACTCTTTTAAAAATCTTAGGCTCTCACACTGCAAGAACTCTGCATGGCAAATGCTTGGCTAGACAGACTTTAAAAGCCCAACAAGGTGGGAAGGGATTGGTGATTGTATGGGAATAGAGTAAAATACCCACCTTTCAGAAAGTTTTTCTCCTTCAACTTGCACTGAATCAGGATCCTTCCTCGGCATCAAAGGGAAAATTTTAATGTCTCATGGTAATTCTCTGACATCTTAAAAATCGTTTCCAACAAGTAGCTAAACCTCACAGTGGTGCACTAAATTAGTTACCATGCTTTGAATTAGAAAACACGGACAGGAAAGCAAGACTGACAGGAAAGACTTTGGCCGTGTGCTCTGGGGCTTAGAGTTTGTTTCCTTCCACCAGCCCAAAGGTCTGAGCAACACTCAAGAAGAAAAGCAAATCGTTTTCCAAAGAGGATTGAGTGTTAACAAGGGTACTTTGGTCAAATTGCCATACAAAGTGAGCATTAAATAGCAACCCACAGTTTGATTATCACTGGATTAACACCTACTAGGCTTCACCTTAGCAAGTAATTATGGTGTTATGTGGAGGTGACACCAGCTACAAGTAGGAGCTGTGAGCAGCCCAGAGCACAGCACACCTTCCCAGAGAGGGGCTGCTGAATGGATGTGACAGTAATGAATGAATCTCATCAGCAGACTGTGTTGTTGGAAATGCTCCAAACCATAGTAAACACCAGACTGTAAAACCACACTGTAAATCTCCAACTCTTGCTCTTGCTTAAGTCGTTGAAAACGAAGCATTCTCAGTATGAAGCAGCTTGTGGAAGTCAAAGGAAAAAAAATCCCTTCTTCCTGCAGTGTGGGAATTCAGAGTGACTGGAAACACCAAAGGCTCCCAAGAAACACGTAATTTCTTTATATCTGTCTCTGTATTATGTGGACCTGATCTTTTGAAAGATGGTTCATACAAAATCCCATGAGCTTTTACATTGCTCCAGGCTGAAATGGTGAAGGATGGGCAACAGAGCATCTGCTCTGTTCATGAGACATTTGTGCACCTGCACAAAGGATTTCTGTCCTATCTGGGCTATGTAGGACTGGATTTGCTCTGAATATTCCTAAGTGGTCCCACCAGCTACCACCAACAGTCCTATCCTACTTCAATGAACTTCTTTCCAGAAGGAAGTTAAAGAAAAATATAACATGTTGCCCTTATTTTAAGTTTTATGCTAAACTGGAAATGAAATATTCATCTGAATTTCTTTCTTTAAACTTTCTTATTTGGTAATTAATCATGTCCCCAGTAGGTACCATTAATTAGGTTTCTGAGGCCTCAGATTTTCTATGGAGAATTAGAAGCATTATCTGCACCTCTGAGGATTCAGGAGTTATGTTTTCTGCCTTACCAAATACTTTCTCCTAGGGAAGTAGAAGCCAAGCTCACAAGAGAAACTTCACGCTGGGACATGCAGTGATGACAAACTCAGGTTTCTCTTAGGCTGAGACATACAATGGAAGCTCTACTCAAAGCTCCATGGCTGGGCTGTGGCTTTCCTTCATTCCTGGTCCACGGCCAGGTGAAGTCCTCTGGTGACTATAATTGGAGTGTTGGTGGCCCCAGGACTGAGCTGCCTTGCCATTGTACAACTGCAGGCAGCCCAGTTTTGAGGTCACCTGTCAGGGGCACATGACCAGCTTTGAACCAGACAACAGTCTGGGGTGAACTCAAGAGAAAATTAAGGAAAACTTTTCAGAATGGTTTCAGATGAATCTTTGGGCAGAAAATCCACATAATGAGTTTGCCTTTCCTGGAATTTTGACTTTAAAGGCCCACCTTGGCAAGCAATTCAGTTGTCATCCTAGCTCCTCCTTGCAGACAGACCAGCAGCTGAAAGGAACCAGATTGCACCAGATTATTGGTGGTGGGAATATGAACTGCTGCCGGATGATGCCTGAGTTTAAAACAGCAAACGAAGTCTGAACTGCAAGTGCTGGGGCCATTGACTGATAAAGGGAAGTTAACAGAGTAACAGCAGCAGCATCTGAAAGAGGTGGCCCTTTTCCAGCCACAGAAGAATGGAGATAAACACTGATGGAGCATTTCTCATCTGTCTGAGGGGGATGTGTCCCAATCAGAGCCCAAAAGGAGAAACATTGTCGTTAGTGGTGTAAAGGCACCGGTTTTAGCAAATCGTGTTGTCTTGAACATGTGTTCTGTAGCTAAGGCTCAGTCTGCCTTTGGGCCATTTAAGTTTTAAATTTATGCTAACTCCAGCGAAGCACAGGAATTGCATCCAGGCTAGCTTTGTCCTGGAGCAATCCTGGGTGCCAGGCAGGAGCGCAGTGAGATGAGCTCCATATGCCAGCAGATGGACATTAGTATTCCAGCATCCCCTAAATTATGAAATTATCTCTCAGTTTTGCTCCCATAAAAAGGAAAGAAATGCAGTGATGAGCCAGGCCTTCAGTGTAACTTATTCTTTGAATCCACTACTCCAGCTTTCTGCTTTTCTCAGTTGCTGATGTGCATTGTATTGAGGTCTGAAAACACTCCATATATCGCTCCTTGTACTAGTCTTTGCTTTAAAACACTGTCTTCCCTTTTACCTGAAGCAGTTGGCCAAAACTGTGCACTTTCAAAAAATTATTTCAACACAGCAGAAGCCAAAATGTCAAGAGTTAGGTCCTTGTTTACAGAGCAAATCTCCTTCCCTCTCCCACCATCCCAGTTACACAGTCTCAGAAGGAGACATTTGCTTTCTCTGCCATTCTCAGCCTTTAATTGTGCTTCTCTCCACAATAACCCACTCTTTGATCCATCCTTGAACTCCTGTATTTATTTGGGGAAAACCCTCCACCACAGCCTGGCTTCTGCTCAGCCATGTGGGTTTTGTGTGGCACTTATGTTATGGGACCATCAGTCCTTCTCCTATTCAATGTGAAGTGTGCTGCTTGTGACCTCATAAATGTTCATCCCAGCCAATATATTTTAAATCAGCTTGAGCCAATCATGGGGAAGAATGTATTTGTTTTGTTTTTTAAGTCAGGTAAAAACCAGAGGAGCCCAAATGAGGCAGCAAAGGGAAAAGCATCAGACCCTCTTAAGACTTCATCCTACAAAGCCCTTCACAGCCTCCTCCTCACATATGGGCTCAAGGTTTTAAATATTCCAGTGTTGTGTTAAACTGGTACCAAAACTCTCTGTCTAAATATGACTTTTGGATGTATTAAAGCTCTGAGTGGAAATCAGCCACATATTTGCAATTGAGATAACTTTGTCCTGCCTTCTCCTGTATTTCAGAGCGTGTGGCTCAGACATCAAACCTTGGGAAGGTAAAGTTTACCTGGCACGAGGAGACAGCTGATGAATATGAAAGTCGAATGAATGCAGAAAAGAAGTCTAAAAAGTGGGACTTCATTCACATGATCCAGGTAAGAGTCTCTGCAAAGTAAATGCTATCAAAGTCTTGGCTGTTAAAAGTATGCATGAAGTATGTGACCTCATTATTCACTCTAAGGGGAAGAAAGGTGTGAGTTTACTTCTCAGTAATTTGAAGTACTTCAGCATGAGTGAACTGCAAAAATGAAAAGCAGCTTTGAGCACAGTAGTCCTATTAACCAGGCTGTGGGTGGCAGTCAACTAAAAATACATTTTAACTAGTGTCTTCAAAAGCTCCTTGTCCTCTCCATGAAATTGCCTTTGTATTTCCAAGTTCACTGAAGCCGTTACAAGCCATCTTCACTGCAAAGAAAGGCGAATCTCTTTATCTCAGGTTAATGAATGAACATGAGCTTGGTCCTGGGAGAGCCAGAGAGCAGGCACAGCAGTGACAGCCTGAGCCTGCAGTGCAAGCCCACTGCCTGGCATCTTGCCAATGTGCCTTGTTGTCCCGCTGCTCACCTGTCAGGATTGCCTCTATTTGGATTATTTTACCAGTGGTACTAGTTTTAATAGTCACTCTGGATGGCACTGCATGTCTGTAAGCATCTCTGCTTTTTCCAGATGCTCTACTATGTGAAAGATATCCCAGCAACTGTCCGGTATTTTCACAGCCTCCTGGAATCACAGGCAAAGCTCCTCATTATCCTGGTGTCAGGTGAGAGTTGCTCCACCAGTGCTGCCCAGTCAGCCAAGAGCTGTGAGGACCTTTGGGGTTCCTGTGAGTTTAGCACAGGCCATAGAGGTGAACTGACATCCACTGAAACCTGTGTGAGTCATAAACACCACGGTGTTATGAGCCACCAAACCCACCTCATGGGCACAAAACATCTTCCTCTTGCCCTGTGCTTTTCCCCATCCTACAGCCTGTCCAGCTGTGGACAACAGCAGAGGCCCCACATCAGGAGAGAGGCTCCATCCTGCAGCTTTCACTCAGAAGAGCTGCTCCAGCCTCTGCTGTTTGCTGGAAAAGGCTTTCCAGGCTAGGTGCTGCATTATCTCACTCCTGGAGACTTGTGGTGTTAAGCAAACGGCCACGGCGGGGCTCGGCTGTGCCATGCAGCAGGTGTTACAGCACATATGGTTCATTTTCTTCTCAAACTGCCCATTTCCTTAATATCATCATTTTTGTGTAGAAAACAGCATCCTTAGGCTGTTTCAGGTCTCGTAGAGGTGCTCTGTGGTCAATCCAGCAGGAAAATGCAGGAGCAGAGTAAACAATGACCTTTTAATACTGTGAGCAAGTTATGCCAGAGGTACTGAAATGGTGGAGTCCAATTTGACCCTGGAAAGGCTTTAATTTGCCTTAAAAGCTATGGAAATTTTAGTTGTGTAAACAGTCTCATCTGATAATTTTGAAAGGGATGCTAAACATTATTTGTTCATAGGTTTAAGCTTAATTTCTTATTGAATTTGGCCACATCTGCAAACTGTATTTGATGAAGTTGCTTTTTATTTTGTTCATGAAGGGTCCACAATGAAGTGACAATTCTCTGAACCACATTTATTCAAACTATTTTTTATCCAAAATGTTTTTGGTTCAAAGTGTTTTCAAGCAGTTCACTACAAGAAATTACTATTTTAAATGATACTATTTTAAATGATTTAAAAAACCCCTGTACTTGTTCTTTGGCTGAATGAGAATAGATCATAATATCAGGCTATTGCTAATTACCTACACATATTTAATTGAAATTCTTTTTCAGTTACTTAACCTGTCCATTTGGATATTCACAAAACGTGAATAAAGGAAGGAACACATGCTTATTCAAAATTAAAATTATTAAAGTTCTGAGTTCACAAAGAGGATTTGAAGTCCTCTTTGGACAATGTAACTCCCTGTTTTCTGATGGAGCAGAAGTTGCTGGAACCAACAAAAAAGTGTGAGAGAGAAACAGGGCTCAGAATAGAAGAGAGGAAGGCAAGGGAAAACCTTGGGGGAAACAAGAGAATAGAGAGGAAGGAAGAAGTGCCATGAAAATGAGCACTGAAGCAAAAAGAGGTACTGAAAGATCAGCAGAACAAAATTCATTTCATAAAAGGAAATGTCATCTCCAACACAAACACATCAGGCTGTGTTAATTAAAAACCAGTCGCTGGTAGGACAGGGCTTGGGTCAGTTGGTGGAGTTGCAATCCCTCCTGCTCCGACCCTGCCGGGAGAGCAGGCGAGTTGCAGGAGCTATGGATCTGTTTACAGCGCCCTGAAAACAAAAGCAGTGCCATATGCTGAGCCTGTCGAGGGCCATTATAATAATGCTGCGTTCAGGTACTGTATAATTGCTCGGCTCAGAGGCGGCACTGAGTCACACAACACTGACACCAGCAAATTTCCTGCAATTAACGCTCTGCATTCAATTGCCACCAGGTGAAAGAAAATATTGTAGCCTCTCTTCTAAACACCAAACTGTTTATTTGACTATAAATAACTGTTTGCAGATAAAGCAACCGCAAAACCGCGGAGCAACTGGTTTTAGGATTTAGGGAGAATTATAGTTGTAACTTTGAAGAGCTGCTCATTAGGCCTGAAGTTATTTTCATCCTGTCCAGTCATTGTGGGTGATCCTTTTAAAAATGATTTACAGCAGAACTACTGAATCAGACATCCAGACTGAGGGAAAATAAAGATGTGAAGACATAACTCGGGACTTTTCAAATCACCCAGCTGGTTTTGTTTTGTAAAATGTCTCTTGAGAAGAGGTACATGCATCGGTTTGAACTGCTCTGGCCTCATCTGGGGGCTTTGGGGAGAGGTGCTGGAGCTCCAGGGTAGATAATGTGCACCACTCCAGCACTCCCCAGACCTGAGGCACAGGAGCAGGGAGTCAGCCCTCTCCACCATCCCCCAGAACACACTCTAACTCTGGAAAGATCCTGCTCGCAGTGGTGACAACTGCTAAAAAACCAGAGATGATCAAAAATGTGTTCAAATAATGCTTTTCCTTACTCCTGAGCATTTTTCTGGTGGTTCATCTCTTAGGAAAGAGTGGCTGGGAAACACTGTGGAAGAAGTACGGGTCTTCCTTCCCTTTGAATGATCTCTGCTCTTACGTTTCCTCTGGTGACTTCCCAAAGATACTGGATTCAGCAGGGCTGAAGTACCAGCTCTATGAGCTCCCATCCCACTTGGACATAACAAGCTGCTTTATTGAAGGGGACAAAGATGGGGAGCTGTTGCTGGATTTCCTGACAGAAACATTGGAGTTTTCTAAAACTGCTCCTCCTGAACTAAAGCATCAGTTAATGGAAGAGTTAAGAAAGCCTGGATGCAGTGAAAACAGAGATGGGAAGGTGCTTTTCAATAACAACCTATGTGCAATAGTGATTGAGCCATGAATTAACCTCTTCTTGCTTCTTGATCTAAGGGAGAAAGTCGGATACAAACTGTTAAGGACAGAAGTATGTTTTTATAATATTTTTAAATGGCTTAATTCAGCACTGATATATAATTTTTGGAGCTTGTTAAGAAATCAGTATTAACATCTGTTGTTATAAGTGAGCTTTAATAGCCGATTAATTCCACGCTAATCCATGAATGTTTAACTCACTAGGCAGTAAATTGTGTTTTATCATACGGATGTTGTATAATCAGCTATAACTCAGACTATCCACTCAGGCACTACAGAAACCTAACCATTTCCTAAGAAATAATCCACAGCTACATGTGGTTTCATCATCACTTACAGACCAAGTAAGCCAATTACAGCTTCTCAGTGCAGCTAGCAGGAGTGGAGGCTCAGAATGACCGACTATTGGGTGGCTCCTTGATGGGATTTCTTGAGCTTCTGACTTCGATATCTCATACCTCCAGTTACTGTGAAAGTGGCCTCACACCTGCATGTTCAATGGTTGCCTTCTCCTACCTCCGAAGCCAACTCCATTTAATGGCACTGCTTCCTTTTTCCTGGATTTTTACTTTATTGATGGAACCCAAGAGGAAAGCAATGGAAGATAGCTGAGGGACAGGGTTGGTAACAACTGTCCTGGAGAGGTGGATTTCAGCAGTAAGACCTGATGCAAAGTCTTTGTCAGGAATCAGCAGCTACAGTCACACAGGACTTTTTTTTATTTTTTGTATTTTTAATTAACCACACAAACCTTCTGGTCACAGCATTTCCCTTGACAGGCAGCGGAGGCCTGTGAGCTTTGTAACAAGGAAAATGTAAAAATAAAATGTGATACAAAAGTGACCAGTTCCAGTAGCATTTTTTTCATTTTCAGTGGTGTCGTGTCAGGTAAATCTGTTCAGTATATAGGGAGTTCAGCAAGAAGGTGTTTCATCTCCTTAGTCCCTGCTCCATGTGAAGCTGTTGGGGTTGGTGCATTTGTTTTGCTAAATGGTTTTATAGTTTTAGGAACTGTTTTGCTCTCTATGAGGCACAATACATAGTGGAATACAATAAAGTCGCTTGAATGGATTTAATAGTCTGAATACTCAATTTGTCCCGTGAGACAGGTGTGATTTTTGCCATTGAAATAATTTGATTCAGTGTTGAAATGGTTTACTTTAGGTAATACTTTAGCTGCAAGAAATTATGTTTTATTTTTGCACACACATATCTGATAAAATATAGATTATTAATGATATGAAGTGATTTCAAGAGATCATATTAGGCATTAATAGCTGTTTATATTCATTTTGGGGCAAATTATTTGAAACACAAACTTCTCCTAGCGCTCAGATATTAATTCCAGTGTATTTTAGAATGTTTCCTTGATATTTCTCAGCTGTTGAACAGAACAAGATCTATTACCACTTTTCACAGTTCTGTGCACAGACTCCGGCATTACAAGACCTCAGTATATCTGTAAGCTGCTACAGTCACATGCCAAAGCAGGAAAGAAAGAAAGTCTCTCATTAGAACAGATTGCTGCATGCATTTCTAATGGAAAACAAATTAAAGATACAATTATTTTCGTAGCTCTTTTATGCTGTCAGTGACCTTTTCCAAATGGTGCTTGCAAACGAGGTGACCGCTGAATATTGCCACATCAACCCTGTCAGGAGTGAGAGATCTTTGAGAGACACAGAAATGCCCAACCAAAACCAAACCCCCTCAAATCCAACAACAAAACCCAGCAATAAGATGCACATGCAGATCCTGTTGTTTTCCTTTTTTTTTAGCAGACTTAAAAAATAACCCACATGAAAAAAGGGGCTTTAGGGGTTTTGGGGGAGGTTTGTTCTGAAAATGCAGGAGAGAGCAGGAAAGATGAGGAGCAGCAGAGCTGATATGGAGAGAAGAGAGGAGGATATGACCACACACACACAAAAGATGTTCAATGTGAATTCATGAGAGAGCTCCTTCCCCTCTTTTGCTTCTGAGGAGAATTTCATTAAAAAAACTGAGGGAAAAAAATACAGTAAACTCCATTCTGTATATGCTGCTGCTTCTGCTAAGGGACTAAGGGAAAACTGAATCAGCAGAGCACCCTTAAGGGATAAATTATTTTTAGTTTTAAATTTGGAACACACACATTTCCAAGAAGTAAATATTACTTAGTAGGAAATGAGTGTGGGGAAGCACAATTTTATGCTCATTTTACCATAAAAACAGTAGGACATTTTGTAAATCTCTCAAAGAACTTTTTAACAGAGTGAAGAACCACATTTCCGTGTGAGAATCACCCTTAATTGTACACTGAGACACTGCTATTCCATGGCATGATTGGGGAGTGCAGTTTGTTTACGGACTGGGATTTACCTGGCAATTTTGAGTTTACCTGTGTGCTTTCTGCACCAAATTAATTGTTTTCCTCTCAGAAAGTCTGCCTTATCTCAGCCAGCAGAAATTGCTTCGAAAAGCACGTCTCCAGACCAGCCTTGGTTTTTGCAAACCCCCAGGTAGATGTGTGGGCCGATGGGATGGGTCTTCATAGAACCATAAAATCATAGAATGTTTTGGGTTGGAAGGAACCTTCAAGATCATCCAGTTTCAACCTCCCTGCCATGGGCAGGGACACCTTCCCATAGACCAGGTTGCTCCAAGCCCTGTCCTACCTGGCCTTGGACTCTTACAGGGATGGGGCACCAACAGCTTCTCTGGGCAACCTGTGCCAGGGCCTCACCACCCTCAAAATGAAGAATTTCTTCCCAAAATCTAATCTAAACCTGCCCTCTGTCAGTTTGAAACCATTTCTCTTGTCCTATCACTACATGCCTTGCAAAAAGGGAAAATCCCAACCCCACATTTTCCTCACTTGCACCCCTAGAAAACTAACTTATAGGCTTTATACAGAGGTTCACTGAGAGCAGTGGTATTAAACCAGCATAACACTGATTGAAACATGTTAGGCTTCAGGATACCTGTATTAAAAAATATCCCAGAAATGATCCTGAAAGTTCTTCATGCATGGGTGCCCCTTTCTGGCTGAATACATGTTTTAGCAATGAAATGTGACTCTGGGTAAATGCAATCCTTTATGTTGCATCTATATATTTCTCAGAGATGGCTCTGAACAGTGTTTGTTTTCAAATTGGGAGACATTCATTTTTCTTTTCGTTTCATAGGCACATAAACCTGGAATATACAGATTCTAATACAGGTACAGGAGAAAAAAGCTGGAGGGAGGGAGGAGAAGGGAGGGAGGAGAAGGAAGAGGAGGAAGTCTCCTTTGAAACAGCAGGCAAACACCCAGGCCTGTGTCCCTCTGATAAGTAAGAATGAGCTTGTGGCTCTGATGGTGCATCAGGTGATTATTTCCCAATGTAATTCCCATGGGAGGTTTGCTGTGCAGGAAAGGGAATAGCCCGATGTCCATGAGCGAGGTATGGCTTTGGAGTGATGCCACACGGGAAGGCTGGGGCAGAGCCACAGGGGGGGAGGAAAAGGCTGACCCCCTCCAAAGGAGCCCAGACTTCATGTGTATATCCCCCTGCATCAAACACATCTGCCTGAGCAGCTTCAGGGTTGTTACTTTAAATCATACATAGAAAAATATTCTCCCTGCTCCGTTAATTACAACAGCAAATTGAACAAATGCACTCACAGCTCGGCTGCTGTCGCCATTCCTACGTCGGTGTAATTCATGCTTGCAGCCCATGATAGGATTTTTAATGTCATTACACTGTAGTGCAAAGTCTTCATTTTTAATAAAAATACAAATGCTAAAATGAAATGGATTAATATCTAATTTTACATCTTCATTTACATGATGTGCAAAATTATCTTAAATATTTGTTATGGATGGAGTGGCTTTCCACCAATTTAGGCTTTTTTTTTTCATACAGGAGAATGTTAACAGAAATTGTAGCATAAATCATTGCCTTGTACAGTACCAGAAGGCGCATATAAAAACCCATATCTTTAGTGCACATATTTCCCATTAACCATAATCTATTAGTAATTGAAGTTCATTACAAATTCTTGTAGACTTTATTGCTATCATGCTGCATGACATAGTGAACCTGGCTTGCATAACAAGAAGTCCTTGCTGGGAAATATCCTATTAACAATGACAGTGCATTTGTCATTGTGATAATAAATCCAAAGCTGCCTGTAGATTATAAATTATTGTGGCGCCATTTCCACTGTTATAGTTTAAAAGTTTTGTCAGCACTTCCATTTTACCCCTGCTTTACGGGCAGTTATAACCTGACCATAAAAATCTGCAGGGAGCTGAATCCCAGTTTACAAGGTCTCAGCCCTAGAGCGCGTTTCTCCCCTCGGTAAGATTCATATTTCATCCACATAAAAACCTCTGAGGCAGAAGCTGTGTTTATGACAGATCTTTAGGTTCTACATTTGCATAGATTTTAATTGGAAAAAACCAGGCTATTTGTCAAGTTATTTGTCCATATTTCCAAAGATTGTGGCAAAATTTAAAAATTCATCGGGACAAAAAGATGGGAGCTGGGCTGAGCTAAGTGTTCACTGTTTTAGCACCTGAAAAAACCTCAGTCCTTATCTCCAGGTGCCACAGACTTTGGGAAGGCATTAAGCACACCCTGCTTCTCTTCAAAGGAGAAACTGAAGGGAAATGATGCTTCCAAATGCCCCACAAAGATGTTTTGAGGATTAATTACTAACACTGAAATTCTGGCATCCACTCAAGTCATCCTTCATCACGTCTATGCAATTCTTTCAGCTCTA